AAAACTGCAGTTTGTGACATGCTTTCATCCTTGAACACTTGGCGAATCATGCCCAACGTCTCCGTACCCGATTTCCCCAGTCCAACACAAAACTTGATGGCGTACCTCTGTTCAATCGTTCGCTGCATTCTGCGCTTGCACCGACTCACTCGACAGGGGTCCACTGAAAACACGGCCTGGCCTCTACGAACGCGCTCAGGCGAATGGCGCTTGGCGCGTGTTAAAGGTTAGACCCCCCACTACCACGCCTGTGCGGTGCGAGCGTGCTGCGGTGTAGAGTCACGTAAGGGAAAGATTTTTCCTGATACTTTTTATATCATCAAAGATGATCATGATCATTTAAATCATCAAAGAATTCACCTGGAAAATGTAAATAATCCACCACACCATACCTTATTCTAATCTTCCTTTTAATGTCTGAAATAGAGTTGTTGAATTTGCTTGCTAACTATTGTATGCATGCAGAGGAAATATTTTTGTTGTTTGTAATGCTTACTTACATTCAATATACCTAGGTTCTTGGTTAAACACTTGGTGTTTCAGTAACCTTCATAATACACATTATCATCATTACTATGGAAATATGTCCATTGTCATCATGACTGAAATATTTTCTTAAGAGGAAAGAAAGTGAACTGGACTTGATTCCATACAAATAATAGAAAATTAAAAATTTGCTATATTATGCTTCCTAAAACCAACAAATTCTGTATTTATATTTATATGCTATTAGTAGTTTCTCATAATCAGAATGTGGTGGATGGACATATGTACTCATATATAGATGAGGCAGTTTCTAATGCAGAAAAGACATGCATATGTCTAGTCCAATGTTTGTGCTGAAAACTTTCTGACAAGACACACAAATATAACCTGAAGTAAGTAGAAATTCCAGAAGAACGTTTAGAAAAAGTATTCAGAACAAAATAATATGTCCCACCATCGAACCACAAAGGATGGAAAGAACAACCTTCCCCAGCAAACCACACTTGGAGCCAACAAAATTCCATGGATAAATAAAATACCAGGAGCATCATAGACTGTCTTCAGATCTATCTTGAATGACCCCACCACCGTTCCTGAGCACATAAACTTTCTAGAATGCAATACCTAAAAAAGAGAAAGACTGAAGGGAGTAAAAAATAATTAAATAACTCCTTATTATTAATTTGAATCCATGGAAGATACCTAAAAAAGAATTCTAATTATTATTTTAACTAAACTTTGCACCAAATGTTAAAGCATACCAGAAAAAGCTAAAATATCATTAAGCTGGCAGTGAATATTTTCCTGATTTGCCTCACAAACTGCATGGAATAAAGTCTGTCACTTATTGCTTTAAGAATGTTCTACCAAACGTCTATAAAACTACTAGTAAAATAATGGCATGGACTTTGTATTTCCTAGAATATTTATTATTTCCATTTTATAAGTGAAAAGCTTCATTTCAAATTTCTAAGGCTAGTAGAGGAAGTTTCATGTCACTATTATTATTAAATAATCACATTCAAGGCTGAAATGAACGGATTTTCTAAATGTGAGGTATAAGTCTTAGTGTTTTAAAGATTTAAGTGTATAACAGTATCTTTCATATATCTTTTCAATCATGCCAATACATTTGGTGCCAAGTACTGTACTATGAAAAGCACAATAGACCACTGTAGGCAGCAGTGCAAGGGCCAAGAAGGTCTACCCCTCATACATTCATACTGTACTATGAAAGTCAGGAATTATAATTAAATACAAACAAATTGCAATCCATTAATATAATCTTTGAAAATCAACCATTATACTTACCACAACTGAATGTTGGAAAACAAAAATACATTCAGAAACTCAAGTGTCTAGTATTTGGCACCATTAATAATTATGAAATCTAAAGTACGCTGGAGAATGTTTAAAACATTTGAACTTATGATGGAGCACAAACATCTGTTTTTATGAATCAGATCATTGCACTGAAATGATGCTTTTTGAGGACTATTCATGAATGTGCAGCATGTGAATCCAACCTATGAGAACTGCTGTTTGCAATGAGTAGCCTTCTTATTAAACTAGTTGTCACGTAGGGGGTGTTGGAGAAAAGAAATGAACATAATGGTAGATATAAAAATATGAAACCAGCTCCATTGCTGACAAAAACTGGCATTCTTCAGTGCAGCTGATAATAAAAGTTGTTGTCTGAACAACATTTGGAGCTCTTCTTCAAACAATTAATTGAAGAAGAAATTAGTTTAATATATTTACAGCAGGGCTGTGTATCCAGCACATACCACAAGAAGTGTAATCAAGGCTCCACTTGATGAACAAATAACCAGCAGAGAGCAATTTTTATGAATATGAACATTTGAAGCAAAAGTTTATATAAATAGACCAGATTATCTGTAAACCATAGGAACTGAAATATGAGATGTTATTACAGATTATCACAGAAAATTGTCAACTACTGTCACAAAATTTTATATGTTGTTGGTAAATGTTAAATGTGTGGACATTTCTGCCAATCGTGACTGTAAAATCACAGTAAGCACAATATTTTTGTATACAAAATTTATTCTCCTTATATAAACTTGATATTTTTCCACATGTCTCATGCCTTAAAGAGGGCTTTGAATGTTTCGGATACAGTATGTCACTTAGCTTGTTTACTTTGAAAGCTTTGACTGCGTGCCTCATTAACCTGTTTCTTTAATGAAAGCCATGTTTGAAATTTCCTCCAGAGTTGCTGATTATTGTCGTGAAAATTAAATGTATTTTCTGCAACCTTCCTTTTACCTGATGACAAAACCTAACCTAACAAGGGAAATCTATGGTGCTGATGCAGTGTTTGTTAATATGATCTACTAACATGTCCCTGAGCTCTCTTTGCTGTTGTAAGTGATCATCCATTTTCATACATTCCTGCCTCTTATTTTCTCCCTCTCATTTGACAAATAGTGTTTCTCTTGAAATTCAGTGTTCATGTGCTTCACAGCAGGAGAGGACTATAAATGATCAGTTATGTTTTCTAACTTCCAGCATACAGACTTATGAATTTTAGAATATCTTTGTGAAATGATTGTCCTGGTAGTATCTGCTATTTCAGTCTAAGTCAGCTTTCTCCAAGTTCTGCTAACAAACTGAGTCTATCAGAAATTTTTCCAAGAAGAAAACTATGTTTTTGCCAAAAGTCACTTTTTGATTACATGTACAATGCCAGAATTGAAAAAAACAAGTGGGTGAAGTATGTATGTAAAGTGTCTGTGAAGGAATGAAGCATTTAAAGGGAGCTTGGTAATAACTAAATTTGAGCTTAAATTCTTTGAATTGATCACAGATAGTAGCTATTTAAATATTTGTCTGCAACTTCAATTTTACTGTTGGAACTCAATCTGTGGCCAATGCCTAGTGGCAAAATATTTGGTCCTTAATAAATTTCAAGAGCAGCAGAGTTAATCTAACTACTTTAAAAAGAACTTCTATTATTTTGTAATTCATTTTATGATTACTAAAAATTATGGCCTGCCCGTAATTAGCTCAGAATTTTCGTTATGGTTATATATTTGACAAGGTACACATTCTAAATATAGACAGGTCTTTTCATGCAATTAACACAAACAAATAACAGTAAATAAAATCGAACAAAATTAAAGGCATACTTACTGATAATGTGATTATTTTATCAAATAACATCACTGGAGGCATATGGAAGTCAAACACAAAGTACTGGAAGAGAAAAAAAGGAAGCATATATTTTATTGCATTTCTAATATGTTCAGTAAAAATGTCTGTTTCTGGTATTGTATGGATTCAGTACATCATCAACCAGGAAGATTATGCCTAGTGTTTTGGGGGATTCTCAGGGAGTACTGTTAGTCCACTTTCAGAAGTGTGGTGAAAATATAAACTCTACATTGTAGGAATACTTTATAGTTCTGATGAAGCTTCAGGATGCAGCTCACTGAAAACCTCTAGGCCAACTGGCAAGAGAGATACTGCTTCATTATGACAATGCCACACTCAATACAGCCCAAGCAACCCAAGAGAGAATTCAAGAACTATAATGGGAACTCCTAGATCATGTCTCCAATCTAGACTTGGTCCCTAGTGACTTCCATCTGTTTGGTCCACTAAAAGACCCCTGGGTGGCAAACGTTTTCCTGATTATGAAGAGGTTGAAATGGAAGTGCAGAAGTGGCCAAGACAACAGTCAGAAGACTTCTATGCCATGGGTTTCAATGCACTGGTAAAGTGATGAGACATGTGTATCAGGGTTGGCAAAAGATATGTCTAGAAATAAATGTTTTCCCAGGTTTGAATATCATATATTTTAAAATTTATATCTATCTGTGACCTATTTACTGACTTTCCCTCATACTTATACCAAACATCAGTGCAAGATAATCAAGGGTAACAATTCTCAAACAAGGACACCACTAATTTTCTTGAAAAATGGTTTCATGAAGTTAGTTTAAGTTCAGATCAAGTGTAGGAATATATTTATTTTCTGTGTATGCCATATAAACTTTGTATCATAGTTGTTATATTCTCAGTGCTTGAACTTCTCTATCTATATGAGAACAACCCCATAAATATGTTAATACAAACTTGATCTAGTATGGAAATTTCTCTGTTCATAAATCAGGCCATAGAAAATTGTTACACTGGAACTACCAGACTATAGAACGCAAGGTCTTGTATTTTTATCTGCTGCCTCACCTCATTATAATATGGGCAGTTGGTACTCTCCTTCACACTTGTGTACTTCTTCTGGTCTCCCACCTGAATACAGACAACTGGGTCCATGTTCAGACCAGCCAGTTGCCGTGCTTCAATCACTGTTAGACACAACTGGAAATCCTGTGCCTTTAGTGCTGACTGCTGTATCGCTGATGTCATTGGCTTCAAACTGTTAATTTTAAAAGAACAAATGTAAGTCAAATAAGTAAAACAAGATCATGGCCATTTTCTCCAGATATTAAGTTCATATATAAATGATAAGTTTTCAGTGGCAAAATATCAATATTGAACTTCATTAAATTTGTTTACCGATTTAAAAGCAACTAGTGACAAACACACACACACACAAATTATGGTACTGTAAACCTGCATTAACATTATCAGAATTTTACATTACTAATTGGACAATCATTATCATACTGTGACATGTTGCACAATGGAGAACAACCCCTCCATACACAGCAGTGACGTGGTGGGTGAGTCAGCGCTCCATTCCCCCCCCCCCTCCGCACTGTGACATGGCACGCAACGCTGCTGTCGACACGACGTCAGGCAACAGCAGTACCCATTGCGTAACAGGCAAGTGCTGCGACTATATAAGTGAACCACACTGCCTATGAAGCCAGTTGAAATGTGGCCCTCGCCGAGTTCAGTTGTTGTCAGTTAAGTGCATAAATCGCCGAAGTGAGTTCTCAAGTTACGAGTTAGTTCTCAAGGCAGCAGTTATGAGTTACGAGTTAGCCAGCAGTGAGTCAGTCACCAGTTAATTGCAGTCCAGTATTTGTGATACTGTCAATGGCAGTAAAGTTGAATCTGTAAATTGTGTGATTGTAAGAGCGAATGTGGAATAAAATTCACTATATCCAGTAAGGCGTGAAGTTATTCGTCGCGTATACACCCAACACATGACACTTTGGTGTCAGAAGTGGGGTTGGACTTACACACGTGACCGACAGGATGCGAACTCAAGACACGTGACGATTTGGTGTCAGAATTGGTTTACGAACTTGAACACGCCTCGACGAGTAATTGAATTTACGAGGGCATAAACTGTTATCCTGAAAGAAAATGGACACACAGCAATTGTTGGAACTCCTGCAGAAAGAATTGAGGGCCCAGAGAGAAGCTGCCGAGAAAAGGGTTGACGACAGGTGGAAAGCCTGGCGAGAAAAGATGGCCGCCATGCGAGAAGAGCTGGTTTCACAAACGGAAGCCACCATAGAAGAAACAAGAGCTATCCAAGAAAGGACGGAAGCCAGCCGAACAGAAACAAGAGCTATTCAAGCAAGGACGGAAGCCATGAAAGAAATATTGGGCACCAGCCACATGGAGATGGTGTACGCATTTAAACCCGAATGGGACGTAAAGACGATAGACTGCCAAGAGATGGAGGCACATCTAGAAGAAGAAAAGCCGGCCCCAGTGGACATGAAACCTGAGGCGAAACAACAAGAAGAGGTCCCTGTAGACGACGTCGCAGTGATACCGTTCGCGGAACCTGAAGATGAATTGATGCCGATTACCCAAAAAGAGACGGTGGCCTGCCCAGTGGACACGAAACCTGCGGCGGCACAACAAGAAGAGGTCCCCATTACAATACTGGTCGGAGTGACGATGGCCTGCCGAGAAATGGAGGCACACCCAGAAGAAGAAGAGCCGGCCTCAGTGGACATGAAACCTGAGGCGGCCGACCAACGAGAGGTACCCAAGGAAGACGCCGAAGTAATGCCGGTCGGAGAACCGAAGCAGAAAAAGCGTAGGGACCGAAACAAGCGACGAAATATGAAGATTTCGACACGGGATAATTGTGGACCCCAGAAGAATTTGGCCGTAGACCGCAGAGGGACGAGCCGCCGAGAGGAAGTGACACGGCAGAAGAAAAACTGCAGGAAGACATCCCGTCGCGCGACAGTGGCACGACGTTGGAGAAATGCCTTCAAGAAAGAAACTCCCAAGGGAACTTTCGGATGCCAGCGGAAGGGATTGGCCGTCGACAATTGTCTGCACCGTCTCTGCAAGCAGCCTCATAACGAGTCTCAATCATTGCGAGGTGCCCGTAGCAGCATAGAGAAAACAGCAGTGGGCACTTTTGCGCCACGGTCTTGTACCAGCAAGTGGCGGGAAGTCCAGACGGAACGACGACGTCAGCGAGTGCAGGCCACACTGTTACGTAGACAAATGATATTTCTGAAGAAAGTAAAGATAAAGAATTGGACCTTGTGGGTGGGTTGACCCCCTCCGAAACGGAAGAAATGGAATAGTACACAGGAGGAGCCGGTAACGTAGAAACACCGGCCTCCCTAGCAAGAGTAAAAGAGGAAAGAATGAAAGTGACAAATGAATGAGACACAACTGGACCTTCTGGCGAGTTGAAAGGAAACCGCTCGAGACGAGCTGGTGGTAAGAGGGGAGCGGTTGTAACGGCCGGATAATAGTCGCTGCGAGAAGTAGCCGAAACAGGAGACGCAGAAAGCACAGCCTCCAAAGAAAAGGAACGGGGGTGAAACTTTAGGCTATTCGGGACGAACAGCCTTAAGGAGGGAGCAGTGTGACATGTTGCGCAATGGAGGACAACCCCTCTCTACCCAGCAGTGACGTGGCGGGTGAGTCAGCCCCCCCCCTCCGCACTGTGACATGGCACGCAACGCCGCTGTCGAAATGACGTCAGGCAACAGCGGTACCCATTGCGTAACAGGCAAGCGCTGTGACTATATAAGTGAACCACACTGCCTACGAAGCCAGTTGAAATGTGGCCATCGCCGAGTTCAGTTGTTGTCAGTTAAGTGCATCAGTCGCCGAAGTTAGTTCACGAGTTAGTTCTCAAGTTGCGAGTTAGCTACGAGTTAGCCAGGCAGTCAACCTTTCAGTGGTAGTCTAGCATTTGCAGTCTAGTATTTGTGATACTGCTGATGGCAGTAATTGTCGGATCTGTTAATTGTGTGACTGTAAGAGGGAATGTGAAATAAAATTCGCTATATCAAATACGGCGCGAAATTATTTGTCGCGTTATACACCCAACACGTGACAATACATTACTTACAAACTTTATTTTCACTACTAATTCAATATTTGCAGAACTAAAATTGCTTGAATTCATGAAATGTTTTAGTATGAAATATGTAAACATGTGCATATCATTGCATTGTACCGAACTTTACATGCTAAATTACATCTGTGCACCATCACCAAAATGATAGGAAGATCTATAGGATATTCTGTTATTATTTTCCATTTTTTTAATAATAACAAGACCCTTCTTCCACAGTCTGTGCATTTAGCTGGTGACACAGCCAACAACAACTGATAGAAGACAATCAAATGACAATCATGCCTGATAACAATCATACTGGTGATTAAGGAGGCTTCTATGATCTGGGGTGTGACACTGTGTAGTCTGGCAAAAGTTATTCAATGTGTCAGAGGACCATCAGTGAACTTCTATCTGACTACACAGCACCACATCTCAGAAGAAAGTAATCTTCATAATCAACACTGTGAGACATTCAAATCCGATATATTGAACATCAGGATTTTTCCAAACTACCTAGCATTAAAACCTAGAAGACTGTATCCAGCATGCTGATAGCTGGTTCATAGAGAACAGAAAAATATGACTGTATGTACAGAAAACATTACTGTGGCTGTGGTGATGCACTTATTATGCACATGGAATGGAGGAACAATGACAGTTCCTTGCACATAAGATGCAAGTAATGACTGTTTTCATTCCTTCCATTTTGTCACTCTCTCCATTGAATTAAATTAAGTGTCATTTTCATTCATAATGCTATCAAAACTCTAGTTCTCTGAACCCAAACTTGGTAGTTGAGGTATGGTTGTGTTATTCGCCATCTGACTGAAGAAGATAATGGTTGGACCCTCCCCTTTTTCTCCTTGCAATTGATAGTGTCAAAGCCCCCTGTCAATTCAGTACAATCTGTATATACGTTAAAAAGCTGAACATATGTCTATTTTTTATTATTTTTGCCTCGGAATTTCTGTAGAGAAGTACATTTATGCATATCCCTTTCTGATTGTCAACATCTCAAACACTGCTACTTTTCAGTCAATGACAAACAAATAAAAACAAACTCCGTGGCCTGTAGTCCGCAAGCTAAGTATACCGACCGAACGACCGCCGCTTGTCAGCGAAATCAATGCCAACTTTTGCGGATAGAGGATGTCGCGTGGCAAGAACAACGGATCCCCACGGCCGTTAATCTCGGTTTCCTAGACCGATTCATTCAATGACATAAAAATTGTAAATATTTGTCCTATAGGAACGGTTTGTTTCTCATAATGATCACGACAGATATACTTGTCAATATATATTTATACCTTGTTGTCACCTGTAACCATAACTATACGTGTAAGTCAAGAGACTGGTGGTCTTACCGCCTTGTCTGTTGACTGCGATCTGCAGAAGTGGGGCTCAGTGAGCGCTGGCTGCCATTGTCTGAGGACAGGGACGATGCGCTGCTTGTTCGTGATATGTGGTCTGTGGCCCCCACACTGTGCCTGGGGCCCATTTCACCTTCACCTCTCAGCAGAGCCTGGTTCTCCTCCCCATCAGAGTCACGTGGAGGTCTCTGTTTTCCCAGCCTCATGAGACTCTTCATGCTCTTAAGGGTCGAACTTCTGCAGCATACATACTGTACTTCAGACTATATTATCTAAGCAAATGAATGATTGATTCTTAGACCATGAATGATATTTTCGTTACTCAATTCATAAATGTCCTTAATTTGACTGTATCTTGAACTAGTTAAATCCAGTCTAAATGCTCACATTCCATTTCCTTAAGATCCATTTTACCATTATCCTTCCACCTATGCCGAATCTCCCAAGTGGTCTCTTCTTTTCAAGTTATCCAGCTGCAGTTTTTTTATGATTTTCTCACCTTCTCCTTTCGTATTACATGTCTCGCACATTCTTGTTGAATCGGCAATGTAATAAAGAAGAGCATAAACTGTACAAAAGTTTCATTATGCAACTACTTCTATCCCTCTTATATCCAAACGTTAATGAAACTGTTATTGAGGTAAGCTGCCTCACTGACTAAACACTACACCATGAGGGGTTTAGTCAACATGGCCTTATTTAAGACACCATCATGGTATTGGTGTGGAAGGATGTGAGAAAACCACGATAATTCTCAGTAAGGAAAGCCGGTGTCGGGGCCAGAACCTCAGGACTTGATGGATACTCACCGCTTCCTCTCCGGTGCCGGCGATTTGTCTGCAGCACTTAGAGATCCCACGCGCTTGAGGAGCGAAGCAGAAGCAGTGGTGGCCTTATCACCCTCAGCCGACTGCCAGCTGCCACGCCGTCCTTGTGTGAAACTGCGCTCCAGATTGGCGATGTTCTGCTCGATGTCGATCAGCATCTGCTGGTCGTCGTCCAGGGCATCGTAGGCGTCGGTTTCCGGCCAGAAGCCCGCGGAGCCGTCAGGGACCCTGTACCACACTTCGAAAGCTACCTTAGCCTGAAAGACAGAAACCGTGGGAAAACTGATGAATCCCTCGGGGAGTGAGGGAGGAACTAAAAAGAATTAGATACGACGGAAAAAAACAATGAAGGCAAAAAAGAAATAAAGATATGGAAAGAAAGAATATGAAGGCAGAAACTGACAAAACTATAGAGAGAACAGAAGGGGAAGGCAAATAGGTCTACTCTTGCGAATATTTATTCAATTTTGAGATTGGCCTCCCAATTCTATCGAACATCTATGAACTTTTTTTGATTAAGAAGACTAGTTTCTGTTTACCTAAAAGGCGTAGAATTTCTTGACCAGCTGGGCGAATATTTAACTCTTAAATAAATAATGCACCGTGATGTCCTTTCATTTTTCAGAAGATTGCAACAGAGATTTCACCAAACAAATTTTGTTAAATAATCATAATAAGTTTAACTCAGTAAAACAACCCAACAAATGATCAGAGCTACTTTAAATTTAGCAAAATCCCAAAGGATGCATTTAGACAATATACGAAATCCAAGCTGGAGTACAATTTTCCACTCTTAAAGAAATTATATTTGGCACTATTTAAAGTTGATTTCTATTCGGCCTAGTCTGAGTTGTCACGTCAGATGTCAATAATATTCATTTCATATATACTTGGCTTCGATCTATATGGATGTTAATGGAAGGTGAACATTAAAGTGGAACTAGCGCCATTGACAGACACATTAAGTACTGAAGTGGACTACTTACTGGGTCGTTAACCATCGGTCATATTACGAGCGTGACACGATAGTTCCATCAACGTGTCTTGCGGAAGACAGTGCCTGGACAGCGTCACTTTCATTACTGTGCGATGTGTTACTGACGCCTGCAATAAGTTACTTAGATAACACACACGGTACAAGTGTCGGAGACGTTGCCGCATGATTAAGGCGAGTCGTTCTCTGCCTTATTTCATAAATAAGATCCAGGCATGGCGGATACACGTGATGTAAACCGCGGTATTGCTGAATGTTCAGCACAAGTATAACAAAAGTCTGGCACTGGGCACTCTCTGGAATCAGCTGAATGCAATCAACCACGATGATTATAAATTGGTTAGCTCTCTTGTCGCATTCGGGATTGAGAGGTTAGCATTTCTGTTTCATAACTGGGAGGTCCCGGATACGAATATATTGTGACATGCTGAGCTATGGATGACGCCCCTCACCCAACCCCCGCCAGCCGTGATGCGCCGAGCGAAGCCGAAGCGAGCCGATGTTAGCCGAGTCCTAGCATCCTGGTCGCTAGGCAACGCAAGTCAACAGCGGTGACGTCACCAAGTAGTAACAGCGGTTACTACCGCTAGCGTTGCTAGCAACACAGCGCCAGGCAACAAGGGTGCCTATTACGTGGCCGTATTGTCCGATCGAGGCCACATAGGGAGCAGCGAAGGCTATTCACAGCAGTTGTACTGAGTCAGTCAGTCAGTCCTCGAGCTACCACCGAGTTAGTTCTGAGTTAGCCAGCAACCAGTCAGTTGTATTGTGGCATTTGGAGTGTACCAATTGTGCTACTGCAGATAGCAGTAATCGTAAATCTGTAATTTGGGTGATTGTAAGTGCGAATGTGAAATAAAATTCGCTATATAAAATACGACGTGAACTTATTTGTCGCGATATACGCCCGATACGCGACAATATTTACAGAGACTAGATATATTGACGGACATTTTCTTCAGCTGCTTTCGACAGATATTAAGAGAGTGCCAGAAACAGATCATGACCATCTCCTTTTGCATCCTATGCTAGTCGTAATTTAAATTTCGATATTATTTAACAGCAAAAAACTTTAAAAAGCGTCGTTAAATAAATCAGTTGTCAATGCATCTCTTATTTGTAGGCAGCGAGTTTCATTCTGTGGCAGAATTGTAATTTCTTACATTTCTGTATATGCAGATAACCGATCACAGTGGCCGCGCGGTCTAAGGCATGAATTGTCTTCACTCGCTCTGACGCTGGGATCTTGGGTTTGAACTCCGCTCAGGGAATGAATGCTTGGTGTGTACGTTTATCCTGTGTTTATGTTGTCCTGTGTTCAGGTAGCGGCCTTGCGGCGAGCTGATCATTCGTCCAAAGAGTCCTACCGTCTGTGAAAAATGATTACGGAACTGAATAAGAGACCTGGGCCTTGAATGGCCGAGAGACTCACTGCTCTACTTAGCACTTTCCCAGCTACATCGTTTTACAGCGTCAACTGGTAGGACGTCTGTAAATGCAGAATTAGATGGGACGTCAGAGGGAAGATTCCTGGCCATTTCGAATATATTATGACAGAATGTTCCTGGAGACGCGGAGGAAAGCCTCAGGCATGATACTGGTAACTGAACCAAGGTTCAAACCCCGGATATCAGAATAAAAAGAGGAATTCTAACAGCTACACCGCAACATCTCATCACACAATCACTTCTCTGTCATGAGTAGACACAATATTGTGACGTATTGCCCTATGGAGGACATCACCTCCCCCGCCAGCGGTGACGTAACAACATCGAGCGCTGTCGCTACTACGGTAACAGGCCACTCAACACTCCGCCCCCTCCTCCGCGGTGACGTGACAGCGCTTCCCACTATGACGCAACAGGCGACAACACATGTAAACACGGCGACTAGGCAACAGGGAAGCGAGTCGTTTTCCGTTGTCTGGCTGAGGGTTTATAAGAGAACTGCACTGCCTACGGAGTCAGTTAAAATGCAGCAGCCGCCGAAGACAGTTGGAATATAGCAGCAGTCGCGGAAAGAAGAACCGGACGCGCGGTTAGAAGATTTTATAGTGCGCGATAACTGAGAAGCTAGTCAGTGAAGACTTATTGTGTGACTTCAAGATTGTGCTCTGTAGTACAGTTATATTGGGAGTGTGTAATTCAGAGAGACTTGTAGAGCTCCCGCGTTATAAATACGTGAAGACTACTGAGGATAGAGTGAATAGAATAGTGTGTAGGGTTTGTAAACTGTGTACACCCGCAACAGTGTTATAATTAATTGTAGCTACGATTTGTAGGTTGTTAAATAAACCAATTAACAATCCGAACGGCGTCTTTGGTAGCAAAGAACGTTACTGGTCACTGAACCAAGGTTCAAACCCCGGATATCAGAATAAAAAGAGGACTTCTAACAGCTACACCGCAACATCTCATCACACAATCACTTCCCTGCCCTGAGTAGATACAATATATTTAAAGACGAAACAATTACCATGAGTATATCATCTCTTAATATAGGCAAACACGTGATCTACATGCAAAATGAAGCCAAACTGATAGCAATGGCAGGCGTAGCAGAACTGATCACAGAGCTACCGAGCATACGTTGTTTTCTTTAAGTGCATGAGATTCCCATGTAAGGTAAGGTAAATTTGTCCCTGTGCCTAACTAATTAAACACTACGTCATGAAGGCGTATGGGGGAGCAGATTTATAGGTCCACATTTTCTTGACCTCAACACAAGTTGGAGGTGAGTGGTCAGCTTAACGCCGCGTCCACTTCACCCCCGGGCAATAGTCCCCGGTAGCCAATAGATGGGAGGTTGGGTGGATGTCAGAGTCAGTCTGGACGATATAGAGAAGAGAAAATTCTTGCCTCCGCGGGACTCCAACTCCAATCCCTCGGTTTTCCAGCTAGTGGGCATTCTCTATACCGACTACGATATCCAGCCTCCTGATATTACCATGTGTATGTTCTAAAACAGACTTGAACTTGGTGACTGGGCTATGGGGAATTTTCTGTGCCAATTTTTCTTCTGAGAATGGGTAATGTGGACTTAATTATATAAACAGTATTTACTAAGTCGCTCGGTGTACAGTCAGGGAAGAAACTGTTTCCCTCTAGATAGATTTAACGGAGAAATGTAATGTAGAAATTACTAACAAAAGCCACCGATGCACTTGATTAAAAATACTTATAAATGGAGTAGAAAATTCAATTCACTTTATTAATTATCGAGAATCGAGAAAGTAAAAATGTTGGTGTAGTTGCTCATTTAGGGAGCGAATATAATTTTAGGAATTAATTTAAATTTAATTGAAATCTTTTAAATTTTATGTATTCAAAACATTGTTTTAAATTTGTTATGAAGGGGTTCAATGTATATTATTTCGACTGAATTCTATTTCGGCCGGTGTCGGTATAACAAAATCAGTAATTTATAAATAGATTAAATATACCGTGATCTCCTAAAATACGGCTCATTTTATGAAGTTATTGGTGATACGGTCTACAACGCTCATTAACATGTAATGTTTTTATTAAAATATTTATTTGATGAAATTTCTTTTTAATGAAACACAAAGAAAATAATATGTCTCAACACACTGACATATTGGGACCGTTTAACATTTTCCAATAGTAGATTTGTGTACTCAGTAATGTAACATAAAAGTCAATTAAGTATGTAAAATTCCAAAAGAACATTTGGAAAATACTTTCCCTGCTATTCTCGTTGTTTTGCCACATCACAAACTATAACTCTTGTCTCTGAGAGCAAGAGAAGCAAAAGCAAATTGCGCCGATAAATGTTTCATTTGAGCACATGGGCGTGAACCGACTCCAAGCAGGTGGTAGGTTCCGCAACGTCACGATGTACATTAGACTGGAAGAACGACTTATCGTCATGCAGCGTGTTGACACGCACCCATTTTGTTACCACGTTTATACTCGTTTGCGTGACTTCAGTTTCTCAGAACATAGCAATCTATGATAAATCCCCCACATTTTACGGACACTACTATGCAGTCTGTCTGCGAGGCGTATCCTTAGCACGACAGAGAAGACAGAATGGTCCATAACAGGACAGACTGGAGAGCATGCGCGTTGGGACAGGCTGGGCAGCATGTGTCTGTACTGGGGAAGGTCGGGCAAATGTAGTCCGTAACAAGACTTGCAGGAAACTTGTATCCAGACTGCGGAAGAAGCGAATAACCTGCTGTGGGTAGAACTACAGAAATCCAGGCGTCAAAGGGACTGTAAATATGTCACTTGATTACAG